TAGTGGTTTTATTTATAGTTCTTATTCTCATTCTTTCAGCTATTCTCACTTATTTAGTTATTTCTCATTTGCAGTCTCTTCTTTCGGCTTCCAATCTAGTTCCTAAGCCTATTTAACTTAGGAGATTTTCTAAAGCTTGGAAGTATACTGTAGTTGGTGATTTTGAGGTGTATGATGGATATAATACAAAATTGATGGCCAGGGCCAGGTGCTTAAGCAAAAGTTAAGTGTTGATTTTTTTGAGTTTTTTTCTCCAGTTTCATTAAAGGACTCTTTAAGAGTTATTCTTTTATTATCACTTATTTATGGCTTAAGAAAGTTTCACAGCAGTGGTATCCAATTTTTGATACAGTGGTTACTAATTGTAGGTTCAAAGAGAATGTTATGGATAAATGTATATACCTCAAGTTCAGTGGGAGTCAATTTTTTTATTTTTCTTGTCCTATATGTTGATGATATTTTGTAAGGTAGCAATGACATTCATATAATACATGATATTAAGAATTTTATGTAAAGTTTTTGACATAAAGGACATGGGTATGCTATGTCCTTGGTATTAGGATCCATAGAGATCAGGCTACTGGAATATTTGGACTTTTTCTAAAGGCTTATATTAATTAAATATATGGAAACAATTTAAGGGTAACCAAGTGTAGTAAGCCCATTAACATAAAGTACATTTTGAAGCGAGAGAATGTTAAAGTTTAAGTATTATTAAGATTTTCCCATATGGTTACAGAAAGATTGTTGCAGATCCTCTCACTAAAGGTCTTCAGCTGAAAATAATAAAGTCTTTATAAAGCACGTGATTCGGATAGGTGTTCGAGAGTCATTATGTTATGATGTTTGGTATATCTTTTATATATGCTACATTGCAGCTAGTTTCTTTATGCCTTGTGGTTACAGTTATTTTTCTCTCTAGTTTACACCTTATGGTGATAGTTATTTGCATGAAAAATAAAGTTATGATGCATCATTATCATTATCTTAATATATATGGTTTATACACGTGCTATTGTGTTAGTCTGAGAGTAATATTTCACTCATGAGGTTATTTGGGCTAGATGTGATATTGGCACCACATCGATAAATCCAAAATAATTATTAAAAGTTATCTAGGAGTGATATTTCACTCATGTAGTTGTTTAGGTTAGATATGAGATTGACACCATATCGGTAAATCCAAGCATAAGATTTGTTTGGGAGTGGTAATACACTCATGAGGTTATTTGAACTAGATGTGAGATTGACATTACATTGGTAAATCTAAACATAAATATTAAAGTTTGCTTGTGGGAGTTTTTCACACTCCATGAGGATAGCTTGGGCTAGATATGGGACTGGCTCCATATCAGTAAACCCTCACACTGAACAGAAGGTTGACGATTTGCTGTAATATGTTCAGGTGACATACCACGATGGTATGAAGTAGGTTAGATAATGAGGTGTGCGTTTAGACCACATGCAGTTTGCACATCTCATGAAATTCAGTAAAAACCACTATATTTGCTTGAATCCTAGATGGAATCGGTTTTGAGATCATATAACTGTTTAGACTAATATATTACTTGTCTACGTATTCATGATACACTATTGAGGAAGTTTATGGAGGAGAGTGTTCTAAAGTATCAATTCATTTATTTCGATAATTGTATTTTTTATAAAACAAAAATGAGTAGCCACTCGACTTTTTCTAAAGTGTGTTGCAATCCATAGTGTCATTTTTGTAAAACTTAGAGTGCATGGACCAAGTGAGAGATTGTTAGAAATTTTTATATATAAATAATAAAAATTAATTTATGGTTCTATGCACTACGTTTTCTAAAATAGGATTGCAATGTGATTATTGATACTTGTTGGATTGAATTGTACTTTCCAATTTGGTGGTCTAATTGGGAGTATGGTTTTATAACGTTGGATTATGGGTTTCCAACTTATTTGGTATGATTTAATTCTAACAATTGATATTTAAGTTTCCATGATAGGAAGGGAGATTTAGATATGCTTATTTGTAGGAAAACCGTCCCCTTGTTGTTGTTATATATATAAGGGTTTTAAAACCCTTATTCAGACCTATCATAACCCTTGGCCCAATGTCCCTTTTCAGAACCAAGTCCCACCTATGGTCATGACTAGGGAGCAATTGGCTGAGGTCATACAAGAACAGTATGGACCAGCTACAAATGAATAGCAATCACAGAAAAAGATCTCCATCTTAAGATAATAGCAAATAAGAAAATACCACCACCAATTCAACTCCTGGCTTGCTCTGAATGACCGGCAACGACTTAGTAAGCTTTGATATTAGCATAAAGTCTCGGTTTTAATCATTTATCTGAAAGGTCCTCATCTTAATGCTCCAAAATTCATAATTTTCTCTCTCAAACTTCAATTTTCCTTCTTCTCTTGCTTCAAATCTTTGAAGCTTGATAGTTCCTTCATTACTTGCCGGATTTAGGTGCCGTTTGAGGCAAAACGAAGGACAACTCTTAGAAAGAGATAAAACGCTCTAATATTTTGTAAGAACTCACAGAGGATTACATGGATATTCTAATGGTATATGTGCGTTAATCATCAATCAAGTACGAGTCTAAATTACTCTTTAATTAATTAAAATATTCTTGATTTTTACATGAATTAATTTGATTAAAACCAACACAAAGATCCTATTTCAACACTAGAAATGAGTTTTTTTTTATCTTAATTTAGATAAAAATACAGTTCAAATCACAAATCACAACAAGTCTTTATGCAGTTCTGAAAATAATACTTGGCAGAAAATTGCTTGGTCGAAATAACTTCTATAATTTCAGATAGACATGAGCTACTCTCTATTGCATTTCACGATTACTTGGTTAGGATCTGTTAGGTCTAACATTTCAACTGAAATACTGGCCTAAATTGCATACCTCTACTTAGTTGCGATACGTTAGGTTTTAAAGTGATTGATTTGAGGAGAAATGAATGTAAAAGAAAAAAGAAAGAATATTGGATCCAAATTATCTGAAGTCCGAACCCAAAGGATGATTATATGGGCTGGGTCGAACATAGGACCATTCGTTCACTTCGATGTGACATGGATGAGCCTGTTTGTGGTGTCTCTATGGGCTATTATATCCCACTCTTCCCCATTGTTTGTTTCGCCCAATTCACAAGCTGCGCTCTTTAGCATCTCCACTAGGGATGTCAATTTTTACTGCCCCGCCGGGGCCCCGCCCCGTCCCGCCCCTTTAATAACGGATATGGGAACACTTGTTATACCGTTGGGGCGGACATGGATACAAATTTTGTACCCGTCGAGGGTCACGGGGCGGGTAAGGGTTCAATATACATATCCTAGGGGCTCCGCCCCGCCTCGCCCCGCATATAACTATATTTAATATATATATATATATATATATATATATATATATATATATATATATTAATAAGTTATTTTAGCGGCTTACCCAATTACCCATCTCTTACAATCCTAATTTGGGATGTAAACTTGGTACTAAATTTGCTTTTGTTTTGGTTATGGTGGAAGTTGGAGCTTAGAATTTTTTGTGATTTAGTTGTATTAAACTTTTATTTTTGTTTATTATGTTCTCTGAATTATGTTATGTGCATGTTATTTTTTTTATTTTTATTAGGATACATAATTTTATTTATGTTGTGTCATTCCTAGGCTTTGCACATTTAAATAGCAGGAGTTTAAGTTCCAAAAAGTGGGAAAAAAAATTTGTTAGTGGGGCGGGCACGGGGGCAGAGTATTTCCTAACGGGGCGGGGTTGGATATGAAAATCCAACCAGTCACGGATCTCGGGGCGGGTATGGACTTGACAAAAATTAAAAGGGGCGGGGCGGGATTTAGGAAAACCCGCTCCAAACCCGCCCCGTTGATATTAACTTTCAGGATCTCTTGCTAGGTCCAAACAATTCCTTGAGGGGAGAGGATGCGTGAGTACCAACTAGGAAAAAAAATAAATAAAAAGATACTAACTTTCGGGATCATTAAACATGATTGCACATTGCTCTTCTTTACTAAGTCTGAGAGTTGTTTGGTGTGTTTCCATCACTGCATTAAGTTCCTTGGAAATACACAAGCACAAGGAATTCAAAATTTAACTAGAGAAGTCATAGTAGTACAGACCTTCATTGTGTTTGGGAAAGATAGTGGGAAAAAGAGTAAAGAGTGTTTTTATATGCAGTACATAGACTATTAATTATAGTTCTTGATTACTATGCATCATTCATTCATATATATGCCCATCAATTTTCTTAGCCAAACGACAAAGTGCATTTTTCTTATGCATAGTAATACCAGGTAAAACATCTGTGTCAATGTCTTCCTTCTTCATACCAGTAGGTAGTTCCCACTCAAAAGAGTAGAGAAGATTAGCAAGTGCAAGCTCCACAGTCACAACTCCGAGATACATCCCGGGACAACCTCTTCGACCTGCCCCAAATGGAATCAATTCGAAATCTTGCCCTTTATAGTCAACGGCACTACCCATGAATCTCTCAGGCAAGAATTCTTCTGGGTTTTCCCAAGATTCGGGATCTCTTCCAATGGCCCATGCGTTCACGTAGACTAAAGTCTTGGGTCGAATCTCATACCCATTTATGTTGCATTTTTTTGTTGTTTCGTGTGGAAGCATCAACGGAGCTGGGGGGTGCAATCTCAGTGTTTCCTTCACCACTGCCTTGAGATAAGGAAGTTTATGAAGATCATCTTCTTTAACCATACCTTTCTCACCACTTGCATTTCTAATTTCTTCTTGTGCTCTCTTCATAGCTCTAAGATGTTTCATTAGCTCCGTCATTGCCCAAACCAAGGTGCCAGCACTTGTGTCTATTCCAGCCATAAATATATTCTGAAAGCAAAAAACAAAAAATTCAAATGGTAAAACCATGGTTCAAAGGTGTGGAACAACTCTATCTTTGGAGTTCACAGTATTGAATTTTGAAGAGAATAACAATAGTGAAAATTCAAGTCAAACAAAATTCCTCTTACATAACTTATCCAAACACAATATTTCATAATTTTTCACAACTACTTAAATTCAACCATGTGAATACTATTTCAGAATGTTTCAATCTCTCATTCTGTAACATAAGATATATATAACTAAACTAACTGCACTACGAATCTGGATCCTCTGTGGTACAGGACGCGTACTGCAACACGTGTGCACCTATTGTTAATTTGCATATATCATTTATTGATATACATGCCCATGATATTTCTTAGCCAGAAGGCAAAGTGCATTTTTCTTATGCATAGTGATTCCAGGTAAAACATCCATGTCGATGTCTTCCTTCTTCATACCAGGAGGTAGTTCCCAATCAAAAGAATTGAGCAGATTAGCAAGTGCAAGCTCCACAGTCAGAGCTCCGAGATAAATCCCGGGGCAACCTCTTCGACCCGCCCCAAATGGAATGAATTCGAAATCTTGTCCCTTGTAGTCAATACAACTATCCATGAATCTCTCAGGCAAGAATTCTTCTGGATGTTCCCAAGATTCAGGATCTCTTCCAACGGCCCACGCATTCACGTAGACACAAGTTTTGGGTGGAATCTCATACCCATTTATGTTGCATTTTTTCGTTGTTTCGTGTGGAAGCAGCAATGGAGATGGAGGGTGCAATCTCAGTGTCTCCTTCACCACTGCCTTGAGATAAGGAAGTTTATGAAGATCATCTTCTTTAACCATACCTCTCTCTACACTTGCATGTCTAATTTCTTCTTGCACTCTCTTCATAGTTCTAGGATGTTTCATTAGCCCTGTCATCGCCCAAACCAAAGTGGCAGCACTAGTGTCTGTTCCAGCCATAAATATGTTCTGAAAACAAAAATAAAATAAAAATAGTATGAGAAATACGTTAAAAAAGTTGTAACCTAGTGTTGCTTCTATACTTTCCAAAGTGGAAAGTCGAGGATTCAGTCATAAAAAAAACAGTTTTTTAAAACTCTAGAAAGTATAAAGACTATTTTCTATAGCAAAGACTTTTGGGGTTTTTGAGTTGTTAACCACTAATTTGATAAAACTTAAATTAGGTTTTGGGAGTGTGTAAACCAAGGAAAAAAAAAAAAAAAAAAAAAATTACCATGAGCACTGCTTTAATATGATCTAAAGTGAGATCAATTGTAAACGAGTGAACCTTCTGCAGCTGAAGTAAGACATCAAGAATATCCTCCTGCTCGGACTTACTGCTCTCTTCTTGCATGCGCTCATCGGTGATTTCTTGGTAGAACAAATCCATTTCCTTGAAAATTTTATCGGCCCTGCTTGACATGCCATTGAGTTTATCTACCCAACCAAGAAAAGGAAAATAATCTGAGACGAAGAAGCTTGCTAGCACGGCCTGAGCTTCTTGAAGGAGGCCATGAAACTTACTCCTTTCACAATCTTCATCGTCGTACCTCCAAACTCAAACACTGTGTACTCCTACCATTTCTCTGTCTGCTATCTTGCCGAGTCAAATATTACAAAGTGGATTAAACTAAAGAAAGTAATATTACATATAAATCGAACTGTGAATTAATGTACAATAATATTAATTTATTTTATTTTCTTATTTTTATTATTTTTTTTTTCTAAACTTGGGCTATAGCCTAAGTTAGCCCTTCACTAACTCCACTCCAGATTACCACTAATCAGCTCCAATTTGACAAGCCATAACAGAATCCTTCCAGGAAATTGTTTGAGATATTAAATATCGTGGCTATTGCTTCAAATGAGTGGCAGCTTGGCTCCCAAAGGCTCTCGCATTCCCTCAAGTAAACTGCTGCTGCAAATAAGTTCATGAACTAGAAACTAATTAATTTGGATTCTTTGAAAAACTTGCAGTTTTTTTTTTTTTTTTTTTTTTTTGAGTAAATAAATAATAAAACCTATTAAGTTAGAGGCTTAAAATAGTAATTTACTTCACTAACCAATTGTAAGACGGAGTATTTCAAACAAAATACTGTGTCAAAATAATCTTAGTCGTGAGATGCAACAGAGGCCACGTAAGTCCCACTTTGGCCCCCAACAACATGTGTTAGGCCTAACATTTCAAATGCTGGAGCCATGTGGCATCATTGGAACCACAAACAACTTGGAAGTGTTCCATTCGAAACAAGAGTGGGGCTGTAAGCCCCGAAGTTTTAAAATAAAATTCACAATTTATTCAACTCAAAATATATCAAAATACATTCAGAATTTAAAAAAAAAAAATACTCTCTATTGTACAAAGTCAATTTTCTCAAATATAAAAAAATTCTCTAAATAAATAAATTAAATCCTGCCAGGCCGACTCTTCAGCCTAAACTCGAATCTAATAATTTCCGTCCATCCTCGGTACTTTAAACTGGAGGGTGGTGCGACTGAAAGTTCCAATAAAAAAAACCATAACAAAAATTTCATAAAAGCTTAACAAAAATAGTTTCACAAAATAAACATATTCAGGTGAATATAAATAAAATATATATATATTTAATTAAAAACATTTAATAAAAATATTGAAGCAAAACCACTCCTGCAGAATTCTACACTTAAAAAAAAAATTCCTCACTTAATTCACTCTCAACCCACTGTCTCTGTTCTCAAGCTCCCTCTCTAATTTTTTCTCTCGGCTCACTCTGCCCCCAAACTCTATCTCTATTCTCTAGTTAACTCAATGTGCATACACGCGCTAAATTTATAATGCCTCCACCGACTTACCACTGCTCACCCATCACTTCTCCATCAGACAAAACCAAAAACTTCACTCCAAATGTCACCTAATGATCCCACCACATTATTACCTTATCACTTCCTACTCTTTCTTTTAATCCTTATCTTCAGATACAAATCATACCATATCTCTCTCCATCCAAATATCCCACATGCACAATTCAAGGCAAAAAACTTTTTGGCCACAAAGTCTTCAGTGGGTCTCGCAATTCAACATTTCCCATTTTCAACACTTCGACTGGAAGCTTTCCTTTTTCATAAAAATACAAACAAATAATATATATATATATATAACACAAATGTAACAAAAAAATCAACCCATCAATTATCACAAGTGGGAAGGTAAGCTACCCACGAATTCCATTTCCTTCTCTTTTTCTTCCCATTATATATATATATATATATAAATAATCAAAAACCATATCAAAGACCCATAAAATACCATTCAAGTGGGACCAAAATCAACCATCTCAATTTTCTCTCAATTTCGCCTCCAACTGCCTTTATAAATACAATACATATATAAACAAAACTAAAATAAATTTCAAAACCCATTAATTTTAATAAATAATTAATTAATTCAAATAATCTAAAAATCATAAATTAATTATATTAAAAATTTAAAAAAATTCGGGTCGTCACGGGCATTGAAAAAACACTTGTGAAATGAATTCAACAGTTGCATGACGATAAAAATAATCATTTATAATTTGAAGAAATGTCATGGAGTTCCAATCAAGAGTGAATAACCCTTTTTTGTTTGCTATCTAAAATGAGACATCAAACATCCCCATTTCAACAATAGAAATGATACTTTTCTTTTTTTATTCTAAATGTAGAAAAAAATATAGTTCAAATCACTCATCACTACAAGTCTTTAAATAATTTTAAAAATGATACATGGCCGGGCATTACTTGGTCAAAATAACTTCTATAATTTGAAATAAATGTAAGTTGATCTTCATTGCCTCTCATGATTACTTGGTTAGGATGTGTTAGGCCTAATATTTCAACTGAAATACTGGCCTAAATTGCATACCCCTATTTTAGTTGCGTTACGTTAGGTGTTAAAGTGATTGATTTGAGGATAAATGAATGTAAAAGAAAAAAAAAAAAGAATATTGGATCCAAATTATCCAAAGTCCGAATCCAAAGGATGGTTATTTGGGCTGGGTCGAATATAGGCCCATTCGTTGACTTCGATGTGAGAGATACAGAGACACCTCGATTGTGGTGTGTCTCTGTTGGGCTATTGCATCCCTCTCTTCCTTATTGTTTGTTTCGCCCAATTCACAAGTTGCGCTTTTCAGTATCACCACTCTGTAATTGCAATTAACTCACAGCAACAACAAGAACCACAACAGCTATATTCGTATCAAATATTGCACGAGTCCACCAATTTCGGACCCATTCTCTACTCTTCTCGGGCTTCACCCCCAAAACCCATCTCCAAATTCCACCCATTTTCACTCTACAGTTCTGGGTCTCCCCCTTTCTTCCATGCCAGGGTTTCTCAGTCATCAGGTCTCTCTCCGCCTTACCCTTGAAACATATATGTTCTTCAAATTCTAAGTAATATTACTTATCAATAAAAAAAATTCTAAGTAATATCAATGACGATTTTTTTTCTCTTTTATTTAAGTCTCTGTTTGGTTAACAAAATGCAAAGGTGGGCAGCTGATGGAGAGGAGTCTATCTTTTCATATCACCCAAAACAGGCAAGCTATTTTTCCTACTTTTATGCCTGTATGTGTTCTACTTTTAAATGATTTCCTTAAGTTATTATTTGATGTTTTTAGGATTTTGCTACGTGGAGGTGTTTTCAAGTTGTGTGTGGATGGGAATGTATAATTTCAATTTCACTTCTGCTTTCAAAGTTCTTAAAATTGGAGGGCTATTCTATTCAGGAGTTGAGAACTCCGGTTGCAGGTTTTTGCAGACAACAGGGAAAAGTATAATGGGGTCAACCAAAAAGGCGAAGTCAATTCCTCCAGGCAAATCATGGAGGAGAGCCTGAGGTTAGAACCACTAGTTGACGAGGTATTAAATTTATTTTTTCATGCAGAAATATCACTTTATCTGTGTTACAATTTAGTTAAATTTTCCTTCTTTTATAATGATATTATAGTAGAGTTGTTTGCATGACCTCTTTTCCTGCTTGTGGGTGTGCTCTTGGTGGTTTGTCGAAAATGCTGAAATTGAATTACTACTGGTGAATTCGTGGTTGTACCTGCAAGTAGGAAGAGAATTTTATGATATCAAAGGGAAATCAATATACTAGAAAGTGTGAAACTCATGCATATATATGTTTTGAACACCGAGGATATTGAATTTTCGGAACAGATTGTTGTGGGTTTTTCTTGAAAGGTGACTCATATATATTGTAAAGTGAACAAAATATCGTGGTTGGATAGTTTGAATATAAAAGAGAATATGTAAATCCTAATAATGGGGGGCTTTGTTAGGTGTAAACAATTCCTTGACGGGAGAATGTGTGAGTACCAATTAGGGGAAAAAAAAAAAAAAAAAAATTTAATTATATATATATTAACTTTCGGGATCGTTAAACATGATTGCACATTGCTCTTCTTTACCAAGTCTCAGAGTTGTTTGGTGTGTTTCCATCACTGCATTAAGTTCCTTCGAAATATACAAGCACACGGAATTCAAAATTTAACTAGAGAAGTGATAGTAGTACACGCCTTCGTTGTGTTTGGAAAAGATAGTGGGAAAAAGAGTAATGAATGTTTTTATATGCGGTACATAGACTATTAATTATAGTTCTTGATTACTATGCATCATTCATTCATATATATGCCCATCAATTTTCTTAGCCAAAAGACAAAGTGCATTTTTCTTATGCATAGTAATACCAGGTAAAACATCTGTGTCAATGTCTTCCTTCTTCATACCAGTAGGTAGTTCCCACTCAAAAGAGTAGAGAAGATTAGCAAGTGCAAGTTCCACAGTCACAACTCCGACATACATCCCGGGACAACCTCTTCGACCTGCCCCAAATGGAATCAATTCGGAATCTTGCCCCTTGTAGTCAACGGAACTACCCATGAATCTCTCAGGCAAGAATTCTTCTGGTTTTTCCCAATAGTCAAGATCTCTTCCAATGGCACATGCGTTCACGTAGACAATTCCTTGACGGGTAGGTCTTCATATATCTCAATTTACACCATCACAAGAACCAATTTCCCCCTTTCACGATTCAAGGACAAATCATTCATATAAATAGGACGAGAGAACCGTGAGCAAATCTTCGACACAGCAAGTTTGCTTCTGCAATGGATAGGGGCAAGCGTAACCATACTGGTACCGAAACAATCAAATCCTTCTCCAAGTTAACATTATTTTTCTCTTCAACACAATAGTTTGCCTTTAAGGGTGTGCACGCGTTGCAATACCTTCTCAAGATCAGATTCTTTCTCAAACCGAACCATGAAAAATCCTTCCTTATAATAAAATAGACAAGTTTGATCTCCTTACACCAGCGTCGTTCAATGAAAGGACTTAACTTAACGGGTAGTAGGGATAAGTTATCTCGGTGTTTCCTTCACCACTGCCTTGAGATAAGGAAGTTTATGAAGATTATCTTCTTTAACCATACCCTTCTCACCACTTGCATTTCTAACTTCTTCTTGTGCTCTCCTCATAGCTCTAGGATGTTTCATTAGCTCTGTCATCGCCCAAACCAAGGTGGCAGCACTTGTGTCTGTTCCAGCCATAAATATATTCTGAAAGCAAAAAATAAAATTTTCAAATGGTAAAACCATGGTTCAAAGGTGTGGAACAACACTATCTTTGGAGTTCACAGTATTGAATTTTGAAGAGAATAACGATAGTGAAAATTAAGGTCAAACAAAATACCCCTTACATAACTTATCCAAACACAATATTTCATAATTTTTCACAACTACTTAAATTCAACTACATGAATACTATTTCAGAATGTTGCAATCTCTCATTCTGTAATATAAGATATATATAACTAAACTAACTGCACTACGTATCTGGATCCTCTGTGGTACAGGAACCGTACTGCAACATGTGTGCACCTATTCTTAGGCCAGAAGGCAAAGTGCATTTTTCTTATGCATAGTGATACCAGGTAAATAGATTCAGAGTTTTTTTATTTTATGTTGCGCTTGTCCAGCACGAGAAATTGAGAACACAGTTCAAGTTAAGCAGCCACTAATGTGAAAACAATACGGAAAGTTCAACCCGTACCCAAATCTACCCCACCTAGCACTTTGTATTCACTGGGATGACCAACGGCTTCATTTTGTGTTCATTTAAACTTTTTCCAGTCGGCCCTAGAATATCTTCTGCTTCTTCACCTTTGTTGTTATTTGAAGAGGGAATTGCTATGACTCTGGCCAGCTCTGTAGATTTGCAACTTGCGTTTACACAGGAACTGCGATCGAATCATCATATAATAGTTGCTAGACATAATAATCTTAGTGAATGTTGAGAAACGAAAGAGTTTAGTGCTTCCTTTATCAAGCTTCGAAGGGTGTAGGTGAGATAGAGTCAGAGACTCTGCAAATGCCAATGAGATGCAATAGCAAATTCGAGAGTTGGAGCACAAATGCGGCAGAATTTGAGTAAGAGCGAGCTCTGGGCGCATAAGAGTGAAGATTTGTGTCACTTAGATTACTGCTACTCACTTGTGTTGAGAATTAGCGGTTTTGCTTGAATTTAAAAATAAAAAATAAATAATTAGATAAATAATTGTCATTTGAGCTAGGTTGAATATAAATATTTAACATATTATATATACTCGTGTGTGAAATCTAGGAGATGGGTCAATGTTCAATTTCAATAATTTAAAAAAGTGATTTTTGTTATTATTATAATTGGTCTAACTTTGTAATGTTGACTTCGGTTCTAAAACTCTCAATCTTTCAAGGTTAAGGATTTGAGGCCGATATAGAAAAAAGAAAAAGAAAATTAACAAAATGTGATTTTTGTTGAATCTTAATAATTGGAAAAAAGTGATTTGTCTGGTTCAGAGGATTGAGTATTGCTATATTGATGTTAGCAAATAGATCATTGTTTAATCTTAATTGGAAAAAAAAAAAAAAAAAATTTTGGATGGAGTATACTGATATTAACTAATTTCTTATAGTGTCAGAAATTAGGTCATTGTTCAATCTCCATAAGTATGCTACAAAATTATATCATTTTTCAATCTTAATAATTAGATAAAATGATTTGTTTGGTTGAGTATGATAACATGAGGTAATAATGTTAGGAGTATGTTTGGTTTGGTATGCTAATTTGACCTAATAATGTTATAAATAGGTAGTTGTTTAATATCAATAATTAGAAATACCATTTGTATTTGTTTAGTTGATTGAGTATGTTAACCTGACCTACTGTTAATAACATATTTAATGACATCTCTAAAATTTGGCATTTGTCACACTAGCAATTTTCGACAGTCATTTTAGTATTTTCAAGAGTAATGTCAGTGTTTTGAAATTTCGAAATTTTTGCTATCTCATGTGCCACAATGATATGTTTTTGCTATTTAAAAATAATAATAATGTATAATTTTTAAATAAATATATATATATATATATATATATATATATATATTTTAACTTTTCCCAAACGATTATATTTTCAATCTTATATAAGCAGTCATTTATACAATATCCATTATGGGTAATGGGTTGATGTATTTATATAGGTGAAAAGAAAAGGAAAAATTTAAATTTTTAAGGATAAAACTTTTTTTTAAAAAAAAAAATAAATAAACTTTTTGGGGGCAAATATAGCCGCATAAACAATGGCTTAACGACTATAACATCAGTCATGTGCAGAAAAAATAAACAAAAAACAAAACAAAATTTTTTGAATTTGTACATTTTTTTGCCCAAAAAAGGTCATTCTGCCATTGTTTGTGTTAGCCAAAATAATACCTTAACCGCTCTTAATTACAATATTGTTTAGGGAAAAAAACCAAATAGACCCCAAAAAAACTGATTTTTGGCAAATTTCTGACCCAAACAAGACCTTATTAAGCACAGTACTCTGAGAAATTCGTTTGCGGGCCCGCATGCGCAGGACTGATCTTCACATGGGTCACCCAATATTTTGGCCCACTGTTTGGCGACCCCCATTGGACCCTCATGAATCCCTAAAATCATATTGGGCTCACGGAAACATTGGAGTAGGCCTTATAATTGGAATATGAATTTTGTGAAGAAGACAAAAAACAAAAAACCGGAACTAAATAGGACCCACATCACACAGCCCAGTTTGGAAGGGTACCGCTTCTTGAACCCATTATGTGAAGGAAAAGTCTTTCTCAAACTTGTTGGGGCCACCATGTTTTGCAAAATTTGAAAATAATTTTTTTTTAAATAAACAATTTCATGACATTTTTTGGGAAAATTTTTAAGTATAAAGAAAGACAACTATATGGTTAAAAATCTAAAAACATCGTGAACAAAATGAATAATTATTGACTATATATATATACAAGCATACAACTAATCAAGGCGAGTTAAGATTTCATTTTAGGGGCACAATGCAATTGATAAAAAACAAGAAAAAATATCATTGCAAAAGAATATGATAACCAATGGGTAGTATAATTAAGAAAAATAAATTTTTGACAAATATAGGAATCAAAATATTAATTGGTAATATATCCATTGAATATGGTTGGAAGACCTTGTATTTTGATACCAATGCATGAAATCAGGCCAATTGAGTTCATAAAATTACAACAATACACTAGGGAAAAAAATATAATAATAAATTTAAATAAGAAGAGAAATAAAAAGAATAATAAGAGATAAAAATGTTACATACTACATGCATCATACAGAAGAATTTTAAGGAATAGGGAAAGAAAAAAGAAAAGAGAGAGAGACATTCGAAGAACAAAATATTGTTTGATTGATGAAGAGAAATTAAACTTTTATTTTTATATAAAGAAAATTAAAGAAAATTGAGAAGTAAAAGATAAAAGAAAGAAAAAACTAAGAGAATTTTAGCAACCGAAAATTTTAAACTGGCATTATACAACTCGATTGGTGGATAACAATTACCATGAATAATTTTTCTCGCTATCTCTTTATGAAAAATACATATAAGGCCATTGACCCCACGTAGGCTAAGGCATGTTGAATAGTCAAAATTGTAATTTTATATTAGTGAAATATAGACAAACTGTCCATTTCAAATTATTAAACTAAAAAATATTGATAGTCCTTTTTTCTCCGGTGGGCAACTAGGAAGCATAAGCCTAAACTTGGACCACTCTTAGTGCAAACAGTTTTTTTTGGAAGGAGTGCCGAAAAATTTGTTGCTCTTCTTTTCATTCTAATCCTTGTACTCAAATAGAAAATACGTAAAACTTATTTTCTCTAATACCATTATCATTCACAAAATTTTCCCTAGCTTCTTTAATTATTCAAGTTCACAAAAGGAGTGATGATGAAGCTGCAAAAATAACCCCAACTGTAGCATACAAAACCCAAACAAGATATGCACCACAACTGGTAATAACAGAAACTGATCTCTGCAACCACCACAGTCACCACTGAGCTCCAATTTGACAAGCCATGGCAGAATCCAACTTCATTGAGATCTCCAAACCAGCAAGCTGTACAAATATTTTTTACTCATGCTCGGATTATAAGGGTTGGGTCTGTTTAAGCTTCTTCATTGAGATCTTCAGTAATTTGTTTTGCTCTGCCACTGTGAATGGGTTTGGGATGAGAGATTGATCAGTTAGAGGAGAGTGTCCGGGTGTTCCTGGAGCAAACAATATAAAATATATGGGAATAATAAAAATATAGGGCAACAGAAAAATAGAAAAAATATATATATATATATATATATATATTTTTAAATGTAAAGGAGAACACATCCCAAAAACTACACAAGGTTAAAAAATCAACAATATCCTCTAAAAATCTATAATTTCTATCTGAAACTCAACAAAAAAAAAAAAAAAAAAAAAAAAGGCGAAAGAAAACTTAAGAAAATAAGAAGGCCTCTTCTTTCCATCAAAATACCTCATATTTCTCTCAAGTCAAATACACCACCACACACAAAGAGGCCCTCCAAGCAAAGCGAATATGAGCCCCCACAGAACACCTACTCCAAGCCTCAACTAGCTAAGAAGTTCTGAGATCCAAAGGGTGAATTCTGGAGATGGGTTTTGAAGGGAGAGCAGAAAAGAGGATTTTTTGTTAGTACTGTGAAAGGTGTGGATTTGAGAAATTGTTCTGAATTGAAGAGTTAGTGGAGAGGGCTGCGATGAGGAATACGCATGTTGAGAAACGAA